AAAAAATTATTCATATATTGTTGTCTTTTAAAAAAATATCACATAGGCTCAAGCAGCTGGAGATACGAAGTCCGAATACACTTAGGCTTGCGGGCGGAAAGGCCTATCAAGATGATGGACCCAGAGTTTTTTTTTTTCATCACTAATTAGGCCTCATCCCTAATTAGGCCCACTAATGATAATTCCTTTTAGGCCCGGGGTTGGCCTTCTAAGGTCTACCTCTATTTTCCAGTCCCTCGCATTGTCTGTTCTGGTGTGGTTCTTGGCACTTTAGTGAGCTTATTTTTAAGAGGGAGGCAATTACTGTTAAATAATGTTAAATATTCTAATCAATACCCAAAATGGGTGTTATTACAATTACTTGAGGAGATTATTTTGGAAACAGATAATTAATCATGTATATTAATTGAATAATATTGTATATTTGTGGAGAACCAATTTCATTGTCTTATAAATATCAGGCTTAATTTACAATGGCAAGATTACAAAAAAAAAAAAGAAAAAAGAAAAAAGAGGAATGAAAATGAGACTAGATCATATAATCTCCAATAGGGGTGTTCACGGGGTGGTTTGGTTCGGATTTTAACATTTTTTAATCCAATCCACTTTAATCGGTTAGTAAAATTTTTAAACCAATCCAATCCACTATTATATGATAACCAAACCAATCCAATTTAAATCGGATCGGTATGGTTCGGTCGGATTGATCGGTTTTTAACACTATTAAATATATGAGATAATATAAATAAATTTAACATGAAGTAAAAAAACATAAATATAAAATACGTTAATATCCAAATAAATAGAAACATAATTAAAAAAAGTACAAATTATAAACAAATTCTTATACTCTTTTATAATTGTAAAAATTGAAAAAATTTAGAAATTATAAACAAATTCTTAAATTTTTATCTTGATCTCCAAGAATACCCAAAATAAGGCTGCCACCAGCCTCCCAAACTCTTTTAATTCTGAATTTGGATGGGTATTTATAAGGTTTTAAAAACCCTAATTGAAATAGAAGTAAGATTTGAAACAGAATAAGAAACTTGAATGTTCGACGTTGAACGTATAATGCTGACACTCTGAATTACATATCGACACAAAACAAGAAACAGAAAGTTTGATTTTGGACTATTAACTCATGGTGTCGACACCCATATTATGTGTTTAAGAATAAACCTAGCAAAATGAAGACGACAACCTAGACAACAACCCAGCAAAATGAAGACGACAACCTTGGCAAGTGCATG